TAGCGAAGGCTTCGGTACGATAGTAATAGATATAGATACTAAGTAGCTACTAGGTTAGTAGGAATAAAGAATTTATTTTATATCTATAGCTAATATATTAGTTATTTATTAGGCTTCGGAGCCTATCTTTTAAGTATCGATCTATATTACCGTAATCTATTCTAGTATATCGAACGTACTATTATCTACTATCTTATCTACTTTCGCCGAGGTATTAAAAGGACCTATAGAGCGTTTACCCGTTACCTAGATTTACTATATAGCTACTACTATAGTCTTATTAGTACGTAAAGCGAGGTTAAATACGATACTATAATCGATAAATTAAAGAGTAAGTATTATTAATACCTAAGTTATATATAGCTAATGAATTAGACTACGAGTTATCTAAAGTTCGCTTATAGGTAGACTATAAAGTACGAAAGGATATACGCTATAGCCTAAATCTCGTATATTCGAAGATACCCGTAGCGCTTTAGTAGTTAATCTAGGCTAATACTAACGTAGTTAAGTAAACCTACTTAAAGGGTAACTTATTTAGCTGATAGATACCGAAGCTAAGGACGATATAGATATAATAAATTACTAATTTATTACTAATACCTTACTAACTTATACTAGGGGGGAATTAGTCGACCGCCGTAATATTGAGGAGCTCGACGGCTACTTAAAGTATAGCGTACGTAAGGAGTAGAAGGTAACTATATAGTCCTCGCGTATAAGAGTAAGCCGGAAGAGACGCGGTATTATTTATTCCTAATATATTATTAAGTTATTACTAACTAATTAGCGGCTAATAAGCTCTAGGACGAGGATAACTTAGACGATACCCCCCCCCCCCGGCGGAGGGTAGCTATATTATTAGGGAGTTTAGTACTACGTCGTCGACGTAGGGAAAATAAGGAAGCCGTTATAGTAGAGCCGGCGTCGTTACCTCTAGCGCTAGTAAGAGTATAGCCTAGGTAGGCTAGTTATAATCTATATATTAATAATATATTAATAATATATAGGATAGTTATATTACCCGAGTATAAGCTACCTACCTTAGCTAATACTCTACTTCGTCGCGTAGAACGTAAAGTAGCTTTAGAGAGGTAACGAGAGGAGACCTTCGTATTAAGAATTCGTAACTAGTAACTAATAAAGGACCTAGGTATAAATTAGTATAGTACCTCGCGTTATTTATAAAAGATTTATAGATAATTTATAGGTTTTAGATAGATTATAGAAGTAGTAGGAATTATATACCCTACTATATTATATCTAGGATAATATATAGAATATATATAATCTTACTATTTAAAAATAAAATCTGATTAGCTTCTAGATTTTAAAAGATAATCCTAACCCTAGCCCTAACCCTAACCCTAATTATATACTCTTCTATTTCTCTACGTTAGTTACTTACTAGTAGGTATAACTTTAAATAAGGTATCTTTATACTAGAGATAGATACGTAACTTAGAATTAGAGAAGGAATAGAATTCTCTAAATATAAAGAATATAGTAGAGAGCTTTAGGTAAAATAAAGTATCTAAGGAACTAAGATAATTCTCTAGTTCTCTCTATAGCTTAGGTACTAGTAAAAATAACTTCTTTCTAAAGATATAAGTACTAAGTCTAGGTAGAAGGTTAAAATAATAGAATAGATAGAAGTCCTTAAATATAAGGACTTTAGTAGGGAGCCTTAGGTAAGAATTAATATCTTAAGAATTAGATATATATTTTAATTCTTATTATAGTCTAGGTACTAGTAAAGAGACCTCTTATCTAGGATACTAAATATTAAGCCTAGATACTAGACTAGAAGTAATAAATAAATTAACTTCTTTAAATCTAAAAGTCTTAGTAGAGAGTCTTAGGTAAAATTAAATATTTAAGAATTAAAAGAATCCTTTAATTCCTTCTATATCTTAGATACTAGTAATAGTAGCTTCTACTTAGAGATCTAGATACTAAGCTTTAGTAGAAGATTAGAATAATAGAATAAATAAAATTCTTTAAACGTAAGAGATTTATTAGAGACCCTTATATAAAATTAAATACCTAAGGGATTAAAAAGATTCTTTAATCCCTTCTATAACCTAGATATTAGTAAAGATAACTTCTCTTTAGGTACTATAATACTAAGTCTAGATACTAGGCTTAAAGTAATAAATAACTTAATTTCTTTAAACCTAAGAATTTTAGTAGGGAGTCTTAGATAAAATTAAATATATAAGGAATTAAAAAGATTCTTTAATTTCTTTAATAGCCTGGGTACTAGTAAAAATATCTTCTAGTTAGATACTAAGATACTAAGCCTAGATTAAAGACTAGAATAATAGAATAGAAAGAATTCTATAAGGTAATAGATTTACTAGTAAACTCTAGATAGAAATAAATATCTAAGGAATTAAGTAGATACTTTTATTTTTTTTAAACTTTAGTTCCTAGTAAGAATAGCTTCTACTTAGGGATCTAGATACTAAGTCTTAGTAGAAAGTAAGAATAATAGAATAAATAAAATTCTTTAAACGTAAGAGATCTACTAGAGACGCTTAGATAAAAATAAATACGTAGAGAATTATAAAAATTCTTTAATTCTTTCTATAGCCTAGGTACTAGTAGAGATACTATTTAAATAAGAAACTAGATACTAAGCCTAGATACTAGACTAGAAGTAATAAAGAAATAGAATTCCTTAAACGTAAGACTTTTACTAGTAAACCTTAGGTAGAAATAAATACGTAGAGAATTAGATAGATTCTTTAATTCTTTCTATAGCCTAAGTCCTAGTAGAACTATCTTCTATCTAGAGGACTAAGTACTAAGCCTAAGTAGAATACTAGAATAGTAAAATAAATAGAATTCCTTAAACGTAAGACTTTTACTAGTAAACCTTAGTAAGAAATAAATACGTAGAGAATTAGATAGATTCTTTAATTCTTTCTATAGCCTAAGTCCTAGTAGAACTATCTTCTATCTAGAGGACTAAGTACTAAGCCTAAGTAGAATACTAGAATAGTAAAATAAATAGAATTCCTTAAACGTAAGACTTTTACTAGTAAACCTTAGTAAGAAATAAATACGTAGGGAATTAGACATATTCTTTAATTGCTAATATAAATCTTTTAATAGTTAGAGTAACTCTTAAATAGGAATAGAAAGACTAAGCCTAGGTACTAGATTAGAATTAAATAGTAATTAGAATTCTATAAACCTTAGGATTTTACTAGAGAATCTTAGATAAAAATAAATAGCTATAGAATTAAAGATATTTTAATTCTAGAATTAGACTATTTAATAGTAATTATATCTTTTAGTAAGGTAATTATATCTAGGGTATAGTTTAAATAAGAATAATAAAGTATATAAAACTCTAAGAATACTAATAACTCTAAGTAAATCCCTAGTAGCTATTAATAAGTTAAGAATTAAGAAGAAGCTATAATTCTAAGAGTTAATACTATTAGAAGAATATATTTAAGAAGCTAGGAAATTAATATATTATTAAGTTATAACCTATATCTTATATTTTTTTTAAACTTAGCTAACTAAGTTCCATTATATAAGTCTTATAAATGTATTAGTAATAAATTACTAATATATTACTCCTAATTAGTAGGCTAGGAAGAAACCGGTTTATCTACTTACTTATCTAGAGTATCCTTCTTCTTATCCTCCTCCTTATCCTTATCCTCATCTTTATCTTTATCTTTACTATTAGTAAAGAAGTTCTATACCTTATAGTTAGTCTCTTTATCTTCTATAACTTGGTAGGGGTAGCCTGTAATATATTAGTTATAAATTACTAACTAATTAATTATTTTAAATTATCTTTACGCTTTATATTAGTATAAGGACTATAGCGATCTAGAACTTTCCCGCTATTAGAAGTAAGAGCCTAGTAGCGTATAGTAGTAAGATTATACTATAATATATTAATTATAAATTACTAATTTATTATAGAATATATACTATCTAGCCTTTACGAAGACCGGCGGGGGCTTAAGAGCGGCGGGGAGGTTCTTTAATCTAGGAACGACGAGTAGTAGCCGTAGAGGACTTAGTAGTAGAGATACCTTTACGCGCCTATAATATATTAGTAATAAATTCTTAATAGATAGACTAGAATTATCTTACTAGCTTTACGGATAACGGGAGCTAGAGTATTAGTATTAGTCTAGAGGAGATTATAATATACTATAATCTTCTAGAACTATTCTATAATATATTAGTAATATATTAAGAATTAATTATCTAAGAAGATCTTACTACCTACTCTATACTTCTTATCGTATATTAAAGGGCTAGCGTAGAGCTTCTTAATTATATAGCCGTAGACTTTTTAGAGGTAGGTACGGAGGTTTATAGTATTAGTAGATTTCTTCTAATATATTATTAATATATTAATTAAGAATTAGATAAGAATATAAACTCCGTAGATCTCTAGCTCGGCATCCTCGTCGTTATTAGAGTTATTAATATTTTTATTATAGCGATAAAAGACCTCTCCGATTACTAGCTTATATTTAGTAGTAGCCTATTTAATTAGTAATATATTATTAATAGATTAATAATACCTATATTATAGATAATTAGTATAAGTCCCTAAGGGGCCTCCGTAAGCGCTAGATAGCGCGCCTTTACCGTATCTACAGTCTAATATATAGTTAGTAGCTTAATTTAAGCGCGTATTTATAATAATTAACTTACTTCTTTTAGCGCTATTATAACTATTTAAATTAATTAAATTAAAGCTATTTTAAGATATATAGTGGTAGTAATATAGTGGTAATATAAAGTTAATGAATTTATAGTAGGCTAAGTTTAACAATGCGGGTAACTAGCGCCAAAAATCACGTGCATAGTCAGCCGAGGTTATCCTCAATAGTCGTATGAACTATAGACTCGAAGAAGGACCCAGTATAAACCTGTACATCATCAAGCCAACTCATCCGCAATTCCGATCCGCAAAACAAGTAACGACAGCAAAGAGAGACGGGAGCCAAAAAGAAAGCCCCACGCGAGGGTCGAACTCGCAACCTTAAGATCTCTGCCTCGCGGTAAAAGTCTTACGCTCTAGCCAATTGAGCTAGCGGGGCTGTATCTGCTTGATGGTCCCAATTTGCTCAAAAATATGGTACGAGCACGCATAACCATGACCACGGCTTGAAAATTTTACTGTCTCCACGATTTATGATATGGCATATCGAAGAGTCAAAGTTTCAACAGTATATTCTATACAACTACTTCCGCTTCCAAAGGTTTGCGGGGAGTAGAAATTTGTTTGTTTCAACCATCATCACTCAGTACTTCCTTGTCGAAATCTAGTATTTGAAAAGGACGGTTTTTTGCAGACGAATTGGATAGGGTTGCAGCCATTTTGCGTGCGATATGTCGGAATTGCGATATTGATCGCACACCATTGAATATTTCGCATGTGTGTATACAATCGTTTCTGTCTCGACTCCACGATCTCCAAAGCCCCAACATGGCCAATTTTTTGAAAACCAGTTTTCCTCCACGAACAAACCAAAATGATGACATCCCTCCTCGACACCCCCGGTATCACAACTACAAAGCAGCCAACGTAGCATTCCAACTCAAATCCATCCTCATGCCCATCTCCGGCGCCTGATACTTCGACAGATCCGGTTGCAGATCATCCTGCACCACATTAGCATCACCATCCATCAGGGAAGTACAGAAAAGCAACGACGTACCACTTCAACAGCAACATCGCCATCGTACTTGCCGCCAAAATACGTGACTTTACTACCCTGACCCGGTTTTCTCATTTCCAGAAGCACGCCCTGCGCGCTCTCCCTCGAAACATCCCGCGAGCCCCAATTGTGAGGCACGAACATGACTCCACTGCTGGCGGTATGCATCAACGTATTGGGAATATCCCCCGAGTGCGCTACATGATGCGTCCCGAGGTTGAAGTAAACGACAAGGTCTTCCTGCAAGACATCCTCGCCATCCAGATACCTGCTGAAATCGACGAGTGGATCCAGCGGTTCCATGGTATTATACTCGGAAGCCGACTTGCGTTCCCAATCGTGGTGTCGCAGGACATGAAGGTCGGAATAGGCCCAACTCGCCGAGTTGGCCATGCTGGATGAGTTCTTGATGGTCAGGTGAGGCGGCGTGCCCAGTCCCGTCCCGGGGGTTATGCGGTAGCCTCTCTTCTCGCCCCACTCGTTGGTCGTGTCGTTGTTGAGGATGACATACATGGCCCCGGAATTGGCAGGCCAGTTCAAGGCCGTTTCCTTTTCGATGGGTTTGTGATCGAGTCGCATCGTGCTCCTCTCGAAATCGTCCCAGGGGTACTTGTGATGGAAAGGATCGACACCGACGCGGTAGACTGTATTCGCTGTTCCGGCGATGTCGAAATCGGCCTTGAAGTTGAGGCCGTGGTCGTGCATACTTGACGCCACGAGGTCATGGACTTGATATCCATAGTCATATGAGGTGGCTTCGCGTTTCCCGCTGCCCGAAGAGAAATCCTTTCGCATGGTTTCGAGTTGGTGATAGGCGCCGAAGATGTAGCCTGAAGCCCGGACTTTGACTTCGACGACCCCATCGAGGTAGAGCGTGTAATCGATTGTGTAGTCATAATTGCCCACTGTTGCGACCGTTCGGATAACGAGGTAGGAGTTCCGGGAGACAGAGACGTGTGTTGGTGTTGTGTGGCGCTGAATTGCGTGATCGGCTGTATACTCGAAGATACAGATGCTGTTGTTGCGAAGGACTGTGGTTTCGCCTTGTCGGAAAGTGGCGGGAAGATACGTAGCATAGGCCGGACAGTCGAAACCAGAAACGAGTTCGTACGCGTTGAAGCCCATGCCGAAGAGAGTGTCGAGCCACAGCATACCGATGCTCATAGGATCGTTGCCAGCATAGTGAGCCATCGCTTCTTGCAACCCGAGCTCGTAGATGATTCTTTCACCCTTGAACTTGATATCCCACAGCCCCACACCAGTTGACTGCACAGTGTTGAGATAGAATTCCCATCCCATCCAGCTCACGAATTTTTCCTTCTCGTCCATTCTGTACCGCGGACCATCAGGCTGGATCATGACAGGCGTCTTCTTCTCCCTCCCCGGAATACCCTGTGCATCTGGCTGAGCCTCGCTCCACTTCCCATCTCTATTGGGTGGCATCTTCTGCACCTCTCCTTTTTTCCATGCGGCCCGAAATGCATCGGTGGAGGCATACAAAACGCCATTATAGAACCACTCATGAATCTTCCAATTTTTAGCATCTCGGCCCGTAATATCGAAGCGGCAATATAGTCCCTGAGCAAGAAGTGACCAAGAATCCATCCGATATCCAGGACTGTGTACAGTCGCCCATGCCGAAACAGTGTTGTTCTCGAAAGCTGCAGGACGAGACACAGCCATGAGCGGTGGTGCTGGTTTGAGATGACCTGGGTTCACAACTTCACCGAGCAAATCCTCTACCATGTCCGCGACTTCTTTTCCCACATCAGCGAACCATGCGAGGATATCTTCGTAATTCGGTAGCGGATTTCTCACAAAATTACGTCCAGAATTGTAGGGAAAGGTGAGAGGTTGAATGGTCGTCTTTCCGTTAGCTGGTAATGGTCCAACCATATACATGTAAATACCAGCTTGTTCCTGAGCTCCCTGGTTAACTGTTACTCGAGCATACCGATCTGGTACTCTGGCTCCGTTGTCGAGGTACATGAGGACGTCGGTTTTATTGGGAACAAGGGCCTCAACAATGGCGATATGGTTATCGTACCTTGAAGGCGAGTTAGGATATTTCGTTTGTTCATCGCGGCCTGAACTTACGCAGTAGCTTCGCCAACTCTCGTCAAATTCAAAACCCTCCCTCCCGGACTGTACAAAAAATCCAGCAAATTGTCAAATTCGTTATCATCTAGATCAGTCCAGATATTTTGCTTTGGAGCTTTGTATGTCTCAACCTGCTCCTTTTTACACGAGTCTGCACAGATATTTTTGGGCGAAGGAAAAATGGTCAGCAGCGACTTCGAAGCAAATAAAACGATGCAGGTAAAAAGGATCGAGGCAGATAATATGACAAAACATGGCGGACTTCGTTTCTTCGCCATCTCGAACAAAGTGATGAGGTAGCGATTGGGAAGCCTGTGGAAGTGGTGAGATGTGAGGTTTGGGAATAAGAGAAATGATCCGGCATTCTAGGGATCGGAATGTCGAGGTTATACAGTCCTTATCGTTCGCCATTGATAGGATTATGCAAGCCGCGAGGCAAGGAGGCTAAGCAAGGGTGATGAGGGGTGGGTCATTCTGCCCGAAGCGGCAGGCTTAAGCGCGGAGCACGTGTAATCAGTAAGAAAATGCAGTCGTGAATCATTCGTAAATTGTTCCCTTGCTTCCTTATGCAGGTTCCCAACTGGCATAGCCGATCTCAGCACGATCTCCCCAGGGTTGAGTAGAGCGCGGTAGATGGATGCAATGTAATTCAGAAAAAATACCAAGTGCGATGCAGATCCAAAGACGGTTCTTGGAGTCTTACGGGGTATCGCCCAACTCCAAGTATGCGGCAAAACATCAAGCAGGATTTACGAGCAGGAAGCAGAACACAACATCTAAAAATCATCGTTGCCCATCGAAAATGACCCTCTTTGCAGCAGGGGGGAATTCCGTTCGTAAAGGACTTGACGCAGCGCTCGCAGCGTGCTTCAAATTCGATGAATTGTTCGGGCTGCTCATGAACATCATCGCCTCAAGCGCATCCTTCTCTGCTTGCTGAGATGGCATTCGTAGGATCCCCTGACGGACGGGATTACTGGTTGGGGTGGTTGGCTGACCTGAGGTCGTATGAGGGATGCGATTCGTGATCAGGTTTGGCGGAGCACGCGAAGACATCGATCGCCGTCCTGGGCGGGTGGGTGCGATAGGTGCAGCTGGAGCTAATGAAGGTCCATTTGTTGCCGTACCGATAGGCGTTTGGTGATATCGAAATCCATGTCCTATAGGAGTCTGGTGATACTCGAATGCTTTTGGAAAGGGCTGAGGACTTGTTTGCATGTTTGGAGAGTTGTAGAAGCGCTCTGATGTGTCCGAGTACACACTCTCCCTTCGGCGATGAGGATTGCCAGCGACGGGTGTTGATGGTACCAAAGGAGTGGAAGCTTGAGGATAGTCTCCCCTTTCAAGCTGGTCGAGAGTGGACGTCTCCCACCCATGTTGCACTTTGACCATGGCATATTGTAGACGGGCTTTCAGTTGCGCAGAGATCTTGACACATCATTAGCACGGAGCAGAGTACACAGCACAATCCATTTCCTGAGGGTACAGTGTTTCTGCTGCCACAGAGGATCATGAGTTCGGACCTCGGCAAATTGTGGCTTAATAAACGCTCCTTCTGACAATCGTTAAGGTATGGAATAGTGTGCCTACCTCAGCAGCTCTGGATGCTGATCTCGCCCTGCCAGTGTCGGTAGCCTCAGCTGTATGCCTCCTGCTTTCCACCACAACCGGACTGTCCATGCTCGGAGGCTTCACCGCACCACTCGCCGTCCTCTTTGAGCCATGTTTCAGAGTCTGGGAGCCCACAGACACAGGACTTGTCGATACGCTCGAGGCGCTTTCAGAGTTACGTCGAATCTGAGGAGTTACAGGCCGCTCTAAGCAAGATGTTGGCAGTGGCAGAGCGGCCGCCACTGACTGTGCGACGGTGGCCTTCTGCGAGACGGGCGATGTGGAGGAAGTATCGTAGGAAGCGTTGGAGAGACTGCTGGTATCAGACAACAATTGAGAGACGCCGCTGGTTCCGGAAGAATTGGAGTCTCGAGTATCTTGCGAGTCCGGGGCGGACTGTGAGTTGTTGAGAGTGGACGCGTCGCGTTCTCCTCGGGCGGGGTTCACCGCTGGCGACAGCGGACTATGTTCCCCGGGCGTTCTTGGGGGCGCAATGCCTTCGGGCATTGTGATGTGAGACTCCATGCGACAATGTCTGTCTGTACCGTGGAATCCGTGTCTTGTAGAGGCCGTGGTGGTTACTATCGTTGTCGGATGACGAATTTGCTTTGGCAGCGTGACTCGATCATAGATAACCCTAGCAATGCAGAGTGGCCTGAAGAAGATCC